GAAACATCCGTGGCGCCGTCGCGACATCCGGCTGTCTGTAAAAGATTGAGTGTATGCTGCAGTAGTTCGGCCAGTTCTGCTATATGGAATAAACTTGGCTATTAAGAAAACAGGATCAAGATAGACTGTCGGTGTTTGAACACCACTGTCTACGCAGCATTGCCTGAATCCGATGGGGCAGCCGGACGAGCAATGCCAAGGTCAGGTGCAAAGTTTTAGGCAACCGCGGTCGCCCACTGGAGCAAGTGATCGACCTCCATAGATTACGTTGGTTGGGGCATGTGTTACGCATGTCACCAAATAGGNCCGAGGCAGGTAGTGGTTGGAATAGAGCCAAGGGTGGCTAAGTCAAGAGTCAGGAGTCTGGGTTACACAGGTCCCGTTAGGCTCCCTGGCTGGGGACCCCGGGATGAAAGTACCCGATGGTTAGAGACACTGAGTGATATGGCTGAGTATCGTAAACAGTGGCGTTCGTGTATCTTCTGAATTTATTTGCATCATTCGTCCACTGAACTTCTCAATTTCCTCTTCCATCCTACTTTCAACATTCCTGTTTTCATCCTATTGTTCACCCAAATGGGCAGCCAAAAGACAGTAACCAAAAGCGTCGCACGGAAATGCATACTTAATGGTCGTTTAAACTGAAAAACTAAAGATCGCAGTTGTCTCCATCATGCGATTAAGTGGTACAGTAGGAAACAGCAAACGAAATGAAATGAGTGTAGTCAGGTGGGGGCAATTCTACTGATTGTCTTTGAGGTTAAGATTATAAGAGTGGAACCGGGAGGTAGGGTTAAACAAACTTGCAATTCTTTGGGCAATTCTTTGGATAACGAAGAACTGCAACTCAGTAGAGCGGCATCTAGGCAGGGACACTTCGTAAGTGGTTGGCGGTTTGTCACACAAAGCGCGTAAATCCATTAAACGCCAGTGCATCAAGAGTCTGAAGAATAACCACGAAGAGTGGTGAATGGGGAAGTGTGAAGAGAAGGATGCGGTTATCAGTAAGTTGCAATCTTTTTCGTTCTATTAGGAGTACGGGCCCAAGGAAAGTGAGGTAAGTAAAGAGTCTGACGGCACACTGATTCATCACCAAGAACGCCGTCTTGAACGACGGGCAGAACATTTCAAGGCAGAATTCAGCTGGCCTCCATCGACATAAAACTTCCCTATTTCTATTTCAACTGAACAAATATTGCCAGTTGATATCAATCCTCCATCTTAAATGGAGGCTACCCGGGAAACCAGTCATCTCAAAAAGTGTAAGGCCTCCAGCCCGAGTGGGGGCGTCCCCATCGGTTCTTAACGACAGAGGGTCAGTCTGGATTTGGAATTGAAGACACCTCTGAGAACTGCGGGAGAGGGAACAGGATCCAACTGAATGGTGTGAGTCATTGTACCGATTTACAAGAAAGGTGACAGATCCTCTTGTGAAAACCAGAGGAATTAATTAAATCAATATTTTATCTAAGCTTCTCGCGGGTGTTATANNNCGGTTGTCCGCCGCACGCGTGAGAAACAGGCAGGTTTTAGAACTGATCGAGGTAGTGTAGACCACACCTTCACTCCTCGGTAATTTTCAGAACGGAAACATTCCTTACGTAGATCCACCATTTCCATCTTCCTCGATCTGAAATCGACCTTTGACTCTGTCGACCGCTCCGAAATCTGACACTGCCTCACTCTGAAGGGTGTGCCCAAAGAGTTAATTTCAATTTTGCGATCTCTGTACTAACAGCCGAAGCCGGTTTCGAGCTTACGACACTTTTTCGACCGAGTTCGCTACGGAAAGTGGAATTCGTCAGGGTTGCCCTCTCCCATTTTCTAATCAACTTCGTTATAGATTTATTTTTGAAACAGCCCAATCCTCGAGCGATGATAGTGACATCCACTTCTCCCAGGTGGTAGACTGTCCGATCTGGAGTATGCAAACAACATCCCACTGCCACGTGAAGATTGCAAGCTTTTCTGGATAGATTGAGGGCCAGTGTAGCCATGTTCGGTATGCGTTTTGCACCTTCGAAGTGTAAAATGTTGCTACAAGTTTGGGCTGACCCAGCCCCTAACATCACCCCTATCTGGGAAGTAGTAGACAAATTTTGATATTTCCGCAGCTATATCTCACATGGCGGACGCATCACAGATGAAGTGTCGGCACACATACAGAAGGCTCAAATAGCATACACCAACTTGGTATATCTGTGGCTTCGTCGCAACATCCGGCTGTCTGTGAATTTGCTCTCAATATTCCAATCCTTATTCTGCACTTTTATATAAATTGGTGATCAAAAGACAACTACCAAAACATGCGCATGAAAAGGCATGGTTAAAGGTTGTGAAGACTGAAACTGTCAGACTAACGTGGAAAGATTAAGGGAAGAGGCACGGCAGAAAAGGTTCTAGAAGTACAGAAGCCATAGAAATAACATCAAGAGTAAGGAAGCAACCGCTTGTCGATTGTTTATGGGGGTTGGATTAGTCAATAAATTCGAAAGGGTCTCCGAGCGACTCAGTATGGTCGGGTTAGGTGTTGTCGGTTGAGTCTGGTCCTTCTGTCGCACCTCAATAAGTGTTCCTATACGACCAAATCGTCTTAAAAAGCCCCTGCTGAGGAAGCACTTCTCAATGCCTTCCCGTGGTGGTGTTTTCCCATCAAAGCGAGGGGACAAAACTCCAACATCCGGGGCTATAACCGAGTCAGTGAACCACCGCCAGTTTGCCCAGTGGATTTACCTAAAGACCTTGACTCTAAACTATACAAACCGTACAAACCACACACCCAAGCCTTCCTGGTTGTGACAGTGGTCACCGGCTCAATTGAGCATCGAGGCGTATTGGAGGCGTATGGACGTCTCACCCCGTCCAGAAGAGGTATGATCCGATGTACTGGACGCCGGCCCCCAATGGATTGCCTTTGACACAACCCCGCTGCCTTGAGGATCAAGTTTGGGCTGGCCGAAGGCAGTATCCCACTCA